GTGATGATGGAGTGATATTCACTGCCAATATTTCGGTATATGACAGCATTAAATTTAGTCAGTGTGAGCGGTTTTTCGGCTGCACCATGTTCATTAGCTTTTGCTTTTGCTTTTTGTAAATATCCAGCTACTGGCGTGTCATTCCTTTTCAATTCTTGGAGTTCTATATGTAATTGCAGCTATCTATTCTGCGAGATAGAGGCAAAAGTGAAGGCTAGGGCATCCCACACTTGTTTAGAGGAGGTGAGCCAGTAACGTATTGGAAAATTTCTTCAGTGAGGGAAGAGAAGAGCCATGAAAGTAACATTTGGTCCTTTTTGAACCATCTTGATATTGTGGATTCGGTTTTGGAATGCTTTGATCATCAAGTATAGTAGGAGATGGGGGTGATTTGTAACATCCTAGGTGAGTCCCACATCGGTTAAGTGCAAGGTGCAAGTAATGTACATAAGTATGGAAGGTGCAAGTAATGTACATAAGTATGGACAGACCTTAGACTGTCAAGAGGCCTTTTGGGTGGTCTGGCCAAGGTGTAAGGAGGGTTACGGGCCTACCTTGTGTCGGCACCCAGGAACAAAACCGTGCTGGCCTATGGCCCAAAGTACATTCACCCCCCCTTTGAGACTCATCATTCGCGCTGAGGTTTGCCCCACCACCGGCCACAAGAACAAGGCTTGGGCTTTGATACCAAGCTGTAACAAACCAGACTGACCAAGATATTGTCCGCTTTGGGCCACAGGCCCGAACGATTTTGTTCCTGGGTGCCGACATAAAGTAGGCCCGTACCCTCCTTACACCCTGGCCAGACCACCCAAAAGACCTCTTGACAGTCTAAAGTCTGTCCATACTTATGTACATCACTTGCATCTTGCACTTAACCGATGTGAGATTCACCTAGGGTGTTACATGATTCATGAAGAGGGTGTTACATGATTCATGAAGAATTGATTGTAAATTTTAATAATTAAGAAGAGGTGCAAATTGTGTTTTCCAGGTAAGATAGTTTTTTTGCATAAGCTTTACGGAAAAGGAAGAGTGTGTAGATAAGATAGCAGAGAAGGGGGGGTGGAGGAACGGGTGGAGTGGTCGGCGACAAGAGACTGGTCGGGACAGCTTGTGTGGTTAAAGGAATTTTTGACATTTTGGTTGTTTAACCTTAGAAAGGCTCTGATACCATGTGAAGATTGGAAGAAGAATGTTCATTTTCATTAACAGTATATGGCATTTACACAAGAGTATTAGAGAAAAGATTTTCATTATACAACAACTAACTGCATTGATATCATATCCACTAATTGTGGAATTCTGTTGTGCCATTTGAATTTGTATCTAACAAGAATAGGTGAAAATATTATAAATGCTTGTATTTGCCTCAAGATCGTTAATCAAATTCTCTTTGTGTCCTTCCAATTCTTTCATCTTTTACTTCTATCAATACCTAATATTAACAACCAAGTAAAAAAATGACAGCTTATTTCGCAAGTGTACGAATCGCCACAAGTAATATATGATGAGTAGAGTATCGTATCCACAGGGATTATAATCCAAGTACCAAAATTATGTTATCTTGTTATTATTTAAACGATGATTGAGGAAATTTGAGGAATTGTTTCTGTTAGAAATTCAAATATTTAAACAAGTAAAAAATACAGAACTGCTAAGCCAAAGCAATATTTGAATTAAGAAATCAAGGAAGTAAACTACTTAGGGGTTTTGATTTGCACTTAACTCTAGGATCCAATTTATTTCATTAAGTTCATTGATCAATTTTAATTATTTCAAATAGGGGAAAACAGTTAACCGAAAATCACTAACAGCTCCCGATGTAATGTTAGCTATTTTATAACCGGCGGTCTAATTACTATCTTCATAGCGTCGCAATCAAACATGAATTAAATCATTAACGTTTTATGGTTTGTTTGGTGAATTCAAATAACCTAGAGTTTAGAGGTCATTAGGACTTATGAAAGAACGCCCGCCCAATCGAGTCAAAAACCGTATGCTTCCGCATCAAGGTCTATTATTCTCATGTGTTTTATAAACCTTTTCCATACTCAGAATCCTTCTTCCGAATATCGTGATTCGATTTGAAATAAATCAATCAAGGGGAAATTCTGCCTAGAAGCAGCTTAAGTTCAGTTTAATTACAATCATAAATTGAAATAAGGAAAAAATAAACTAATTGCATAATGTAATTGGAAAAGGAATTAAGTGACTACATTAATACATAATCAAAACCACTAGTATAAGAGTTTTTCAGTTAACAACATAGTACTGTAAAAATAAAACTCACAAATACTTGGATAAATATTCCACATATATCAGATAAAAAGAATAATGAAAGAATAAATAAGATTAAGAGTTTTAGAGAAATAAAGAACTAGTGATGAATTGCTGGAATGGCTTCCTTGGAAGACTTTGCTAACAACTCTTGGAATACTTAACTTCTAAAGAAATAAACTATGTTAGCAAGACTATAGAATGAGAAAAAAGCAGCATGGAGTTAGTGTGTGAGATAGATGGATTGCTAGATGGCCTTTGAGTCGGCTCCTTGCTCTTCCTTAATATAGACTTCTTTCTTGGGGGAACAACCCTTGTGGATAAATGAATAAGTTCAACGTGTTGTGGAGGTGGAAAGTTTGTAAAAATCAAGCCAATGAATGCTGCTCAATTATGTTTTCTCAATTGCAACATGGGTTTGAACTTTGAACTGCATGTGAAGGAAAGTATCTCCAAAGCATCTTGTGAAAATGGTAGAAGTCAGTTGGCAACTTTTGACTCAAAATATAGAATTCTTGCTTGCACGGGCGTGTTGCCTGGCACGGCCTGGGGTGTGCCAGTCTTTGGAGGATTAGGTGCCAGTCTTTGGAGGATTAGAGGCTCTGGCACGGGCCGTGTTCCGTAGCATGGCCTGGCAAGCTAGCGCGCACGGGCGTGCTATCTGGCCGTGCAGTTTCTTGGAAGTCTGGTTGATAGCGCGCACGGGCGTGCGGGGTAGCACGGGCTGGGGCGTGCATCTCTCTGGAAGTCAGAGGTATATGAGGCAAGGGCGTGTTCCGCAGCACGGCCTGGGAAGGCTAGTGCGCACGGGCGTGTTCCTCGGCACGGCTTGGGGCGTGCATCTCTCTGTCTCTTGGTTTGTCTCTCCTTGTGCCAGACATGGCCGTGCTTCGTGACACGGGCTGGGGCGTGCCAATTGTACCTTGCTTTATTTTTGTTCTTTTCTTTGCAAAATCCTAAAATTTTCTTTCCAATCGAGTGATTTGTGATTAAAGGAAGCTTTTGAATAAAAACATATCAAACATATCAATATACATAAAACTAAAATTAAATAAATTGAAAGTATAGAAACTTCAATCAACAATTACAATAAAAACACTATAAAAATCAAAACACCTATCAAAATTCCCCGAAAACTTAAAATATGGCTTGTGCCTCAAAGTAATAAAATCGCTTCTGAAAATAGCATGGAATAATTAATTGCGAATTTTAATCATAACGTCGAATTGATCATATAAGAATAAT